TCAAGAGAGGAGCATGATGCTCATCTTCGTATTGTTCTTTAGACTCTTCGAGAGAAGAAGTTGTATGACAAACTATCCAAATGTGAATTCTGGTCAGCAGATATTACTTTCCTTGGCTATATAGTCTCCACAAAAGGCATAAGAGTGGATGCCAAAAAGATTCAGGCTATAGTGGATTGGAAAACCCCAAAGAATATTTATGAAGTCTGGAGTTTCTTGGGGTTTGCTAGTTATTATCGAAGGTTCGTAAAGAACTTTTTGATGTTAGCTTCACCGCTAATTAAATTGTTACGAAAAGATGTGCCTTTTGTTTGGTTGGAGAAATACCAAGAAAGTTTTGAAATGCTAAAGAGGATTGTTACAGAGGCACTAGTACTTGTACAACCTGAGTTGGGTAAAGACTATGTAGTTTTTAGTGATGCATCTCATAATGGGTTGGGATGTGTGCTTATGCAGGAAGGGAAAGTTGTGGCATATGCCTTGAGACAGCTGAAGACTCGCGAGAGAAATTACCTGACACATGATTTAGAATTGGCAGCGGTCGTGTTTGCTTTGAATATTTGGTGACATTATCTGTACGGTGAGCGATGCCATATTTATACAGATCGAAAAAGTCTAAAGTACTTGTTGACTTAAAAAAATTGAACTTGAGGTAGAAAAGATGGATCGAGCTTTTAAAAGATTATGATGTGATCATCGATTATCATCCATGAAAGACTAATGTGGTAGCTAATACACTTAGCCGAAAGACTTTTGCAGCTTTAAGAGCTTTGGATGCATGCATATCATTAAAGAAAGATGACACCTTGTTTGTTGAGCTTAAGTTAAAGCCAACGCTGTTGGATCGGATAAAAGAGTTGTACAGAAATGATGGAAAATGTTTGGTAAGAATTGCACAAGTAGAGAAATGTGAGACTAAAGACTTCAAAATCAGGACTGATGGATGTTTATATTATCGTGGAAGACTTTGTATTCCAAATAATGAAGAACCGAGGAAAGATATTCTCTCTGAGGTACATTATAGTCCTTTGACTATGCATCCAAGTAGGAATAAGATGTATCAGGATATAAAGAGTCGTTATTGGTGGTCTGGCATGAAAAGAGCTATATCAGAGTTTGTTGCAAAATGCATGACATGTCAACAAGTGAAAGTTGAACATTAAGTGTCTTCTGGATTACTACAACCGATATCCATTTTTGAGTGGAAGTGGGAACGAGTAACTATGGATTTGGTTTCAGGGCTACCTTTATCATCCAATAAAAAGGACTCAATATGGGTAATTGTGGATAGATTAACCAAGACAACTCACTTTATTCCACTTCGGATGGATTACTCGATGGATAAGTATGTGGAGTTGTATATAAAGAGATAGTTCGGTTGTATGGAGTACCTATATCGATAGTATTATACCAAGATCCAAGGTTTACTTCAATATTATAGAATTCTTTGTATGAGGCATTGGGTAATCGATTGAATTTCAGTACGACTTTTCATCCACAAACAGATGGTCAGTCAGAGCAAACTATTCAGGTATTGGAAGATATGCTAAGAGCATGTGTGATTGAATTTAAAGGATCATGAGAAAGATATTTGTCTTTAGCGGAATTTGCCTATAATAACAGTTATCAATCGAGTATCAAAATGGCTTCGTATGAAGCCTTGCATAGGAGAAAATATCGAACACCATTAAATTTGTTTGAGCTAAAAGATCGAGATCTTGTTGGCCCTGATTTAATAAAAGAAATGGAAGATAAAGTGAAAGTTATTCAAGATAATCTTAAGATAGCTTCCGATCGACAAAAGTCTTATACAGATTTAAAGAGAAAAGAGACTGAATATCAAGTGGGAGATAATGTATTTTTGAAAGTATCGCCTTGGAAGAAATTATTGTGGTTTGGGCGCAAAGGAAAGATGAGTTTGCGCCCAAGATTTATTGGACCTTATGAGATTTTAAAAAGGGTCGGACCAGTAGCTTATCAATTAGCTTTGCCTCTCGATATGGATAAGATCCATAATTTTTTTCACGTGTCGATGCTCAGGAAGTACCAATCAGATTCATCACATATTATCATAGCAGAAAAAATAGAGATCCAACCAAATTTGAATTACGAAGAAGAACCAGTGCGGATCTTGGCTCGAGAAAAAAAAGAACTACGTAAAAAGAAGATTCCTCTAGTTAAAGTTCTTTGAAAAAATCATAAAGTCGATGAAGCTACTTAGGAAAGATATGAGGACATGTGAAAGTAATATCCACACCTCTTAGCATCATGTACGTCTTAAAATTCAGGGATGAATTTTTCTTAAGGGGGAGAATTGTAATAACCCAAACATCGGGTTAGTGACTATAGTAAAATGATTTAAAATTTGGTGGTTAAGTTGAATAAATTGAAAAGTACAAGGATTGATTTAGGAAATTGTGTTTAAGACTTATTATTAAGAATGGAAGAATGAAGGGGCGTTATGGCCTTTTAAGAGGAAATGAATTTATTCATTCTTTTAGGGATATTTATTAAAAGATGAAGAGGAGAAAAAGGATAAGCTAAAAACTTTGGTTCTCTATTATTCTTCTTCTTTTTCTCGTCGTCCTCGTATCTCCATAACAAAGGTAAGATTTTCTCAAGTTGGTTTTTCCTTTCATTTGTGTGTTGGTTTTGAAGCCTTGAGTGTTATAGTAGCTTAAGGAAAGATTAAGGATGATTAAAACTAAAATATTAGTGATTTATTAGTGATTTAATAAAAAATGGGGTTTTAAGTGATTTGATGAAACATGGCCAGTTATTGGAATTTAAAATCATTTTTGACTTGTCCAAGATGTAAATAAGAGATTTGGAGCCTTAGAAGTGATTGAAAACATGTTTGAAAATTTGGTGTAATTTTTAGTTTTCAGTATTCTTTGAAGATTTTGGATGTTATAAGGAGATTTATGGATGTAAGTTAGTTTGGATAAGTGATAATGAGTTTGATGGTATGGTTGGAGATAAGAGTAGGAGATTTAGGTAAAATTTGTGTAAAATTCGAAGTAAAAGAGGTAAAATCTGGGTAAGGGTATCGGTACTGGAAGAATAATATTGATACTATAAGGTTAAATTGCAGGATTCGAATGAACAATATCGATATTGATTTAAAGAAGTATCGATATTGTGGTGTAGGTATCGATACCAAGAGGAAGATATTGATACCATAGTCAAAAATGAAATTCCAAAATACTAGAATGTATCGATACCGAAGTGGGTATCGGTACCATAGAAGGGAAGTATCGATACTGTAGGATAGGTACCGACACTATTCAGTCTGAAATGTTAAGTTAGGATGAATTTTATTAGAATTCAAAAAATAATAGTACTTTTGAGTATAATTATTATGTATAAATGTTAGAAAGTATACAAACATTTGTATTGTATGTGTGATTATGAATACTTGTGTAGATCGTAATCAAACTCCTGAGTCAAGTAAACAGAAAGGCAATGATAAAGTAGCAGATTAGTCGAACATCATTAAGGCATAATAGTGAGGCATACCAGGTGAGTGCATTATTATGTATTTATATGAGATAAGGATGACTTGCGATGAGTCAACCTCGAATATTTTTATATAAGCATGTTTTATCGTATTTTGAAATATTTTCATAAAGTTTATGAAAATGTTTTTACGAATAATTTTAGAGTATGATCTGCTCTAACATAGATGGATGAACTTCTATATTGTTTTAACAACTATCGATGTTTCTGAATAAATGTTTAATCTGCGAAATTGATTTAAAGGCCTATTGTATGTGCATTGAGAGTCATAGGTGCATATCAACATACTTCGTGTATGATAGTTATCGATCGATTTTTTTCAATGAATATGTTATATTTTTGTATCAGTACTATGTGTACTATCGACACTATGTGTGCAACCATGAATTTCATAATGAGTTTGTGAATTACCATATCGGCACTATGTGTGCAACCATGGAATTCATAATGAGTTTGTGAATTACCATATCGGCACTTAGGTGCAACTCATGTACCATGCATTCTCATTCAACATACATTGGACAAATAAAAGAATAATTTAGAAAAATACATATTGATAAGTATGTTGGGCATATTAAATATTGTTTTGCATGTTATGTGAAAGAAACTTGGTTTACCAAGCCAGTTTTATGTATTATTATGATTTATACGATTTAATTCGTATTTTGATATACTTATGTTTTGATTTCACCTCATTATTATTATTATTATTATTATTATTATTATTATTAGTATGTCTCACTATGTGAATACTTAACGTGTGTTGGTTTCACACGTAGGTATTAGTACGAGTAGAGTAAGGAGTGCAACTGACATCGTAAATCAAAGGCTGCCTCATTAGTAACTTGATGACAACTATGTCTACTTTTGATTTTATTAGATGAAATGTAATAGATGTCTGATGGTGCTCTGGAATGTAAGGGATTTATGATGTTGTAAAATTTAATATGTTAAAACTTTAAGACTATTTTTCGTAGTAAAAGTTAATGAACGTTTTATTATGATTACATTAAAATGTTTTAAGTATAGAAATAAAATTTTACTAATTTTCAAAAGCGGAAATATTTTAAAAGTTATGTGACATTTGTGACTCGTGTACTGGAATGTATACGAGAAATGGGTGTTACACGAATGTAATTCAAAATTTCATTTCAACCAAAATTCTATATCATTGTACTATGATACTTAGTTGACACAAAATCCAAATCTTAGTTTGGCCGATAAAAGTAAATGTAATTTTTTTAGTCAATAGAAAAATATTTTATCTTTAACCCTAAACTCTGAACCGAAAACTATTTCCCTCGGGTAGTAGCAATAGCATGATCCAAAATCTCCATCAAGGAGCGACCAAACCAACATACCACCATCACCATCTCATAGCTACCATTAATTAAACCATCAATATCCAAATAAACAACACTAAGAGGACCACCAAAAGCTTAACAACTCCAGATCCATGGCTTCAGAAACTAAAATGGACTGCATTTATTCATAAGTAAACCTATGATCAGTACTAAAACAATACAAATGAAATCAAGATAAACTTGTGTTCAACCATGGAAGAAGGAAGCTTTCACCTTTTCCATTTGACAAATTACACAAATTGAGGTCAGCAGATGATGAGTTAGCACAACAATGTACACAAAACTAAAGAGATAGTGAAAAAGAATCCCAATTTCTTCCAACTACTACCCTTGGCCTTAATCAGCAAGCATTTCCCTCTCTTAATTCCCTTTGAAGCATTGAACCCGTCCCCCATTTTGTCATTCATGGCATCTTCTTCCTTAATATATGAGCTGTGCATTAAGAGAAGCACAAGCATTGAAAGGAAGGAACTTAGGGTTTTCTTGCATTGGTTTGTGAAGGCCATGACTCCCATGCACTTCCCTTTGGCAAATGCATTCAACTTTGTGACCAAAGTAGGGTTTCCTTCATCGTGTGTTGTTATTGTTGCATCATTGAATCGGAAGGTGGTTGCTGTCATCGCATTCCGATGAACTTTGACTATTTGTGACGGTACCGTGTGGTGGAACAGTGTGTTGGAAACTTGCCGAGTTGAAACGAACATCCCGTGGTTAACTTTGATGTCCTCAACGACCTCGAAGCTCGGCGAGCTCGTGAGATCGTCCATGGTTCCCTCGTCTAGAAAATGATCGTTTGGGTCATCATCGATGAATCCTCGTGTGAAATCTTCGATTCCAGTATTGTTGATTTCGGTGTCATCGAATTCGATTCCGTTATAATCATGTCCATTTCCTGCATGAAAAAATATATAACTCGATTTAAATTAAGTTCAATACTGTTATAATCGTATCCACTTCTTGCATAAAAAATCTATATAATTCGATCTAAATTAAATTATTAAAATTCATAATCGAATCGATCAACGTGATTAATTCGATTCCAATCGAACCAATTGACCCAACATTCAACCCTAGATATGACTCTAAACTCGTGGCATACGTACCTTGAAGGCCATTGTCTTCGTTTCTTCGAAAACTCGAAACATTTTCAATTGGAACAATCTTGTTCTCTTCCATAAAACAATACTGTGATTTCCATCAAACCAAGGAATAAGTAAGAATTGTGCGTTAAAACTCTGAAGGTCAAATTTTGTTTTTGTTCCCTCTACTATGCTTTAATCAGGGATTTAGTCATTGTACTTTTTTAAATTGTCATTGTATTTTAATCTGGTATAATTCGATCCTATTTTAACCAAAATTGTGTTTACCATATTGACTAAGGATATTATAAAAGTAAATGACTGAATTAAAGTATAAGGATTAAATCTCGAATTTGAGCATAGTAAAAGGACCAAAACTACAAAGAGTTACCTGCTCAAGATCTTTGCTTGACATTCCAACCCATCTGAAATTTTTAATCATTCTCTCATCACTTATGTCTATTGATCTTGTAATGGATTCTTCCAAAGGTCTATGCATGTGTTGTGGACAATTCATCTCGGTCATTTGATTTTGGTACATGTCTTTGGCAGTCATAAAAGTGAAATCATCGGCATTGTTGCTTGAACTAGCTCCCCAAGCATCTCCATGGCTGGCGATCGGATTCATCGGTTCCTGAAATACATGAGCAACCGAAAGAATCTCCTGCAGTATGTCGGTTTCATGTCGGCTTTCACGCATTTGACCTGTCGGCATCGGCTTGTAGTTGGTGACCAGTCCACCTTGAGGGTAATCTTCCACCTCTAATGGAGGCAATGCCAATCGATGTTGTAGCCTTGCACATTCTAGTGCAACATCAACCTGCAAAGTAACAGTGCATCACTAAATGATTAATGTATTAATTTTGATTTCGTTTTTATTTAGGGTTTATATTTGATGTACTCCGGATCGGAGTTAGGATTGGACTATGAGGGGTCAAGGCTTAATTTCATTAATTTTAAAACTGATGGGGTCCAAAAAATAATTATACCAAAGATTTATGGAAGGGGCATGACTCAATTTCAATGGTTTCAAAACTATCACTGGCTTAAAATATAATTAAACCATCAAAGTTATTTACATGGCCTCTCCCACCTACAGCATGCCTCCGTCCTTGGATGCGCAGTGTATGAATACAGACAGGAAGAGAATGAAACCATGAGGTCAAATTGCTTAACATCAAAATTAATATAGATTTAAGAAGTATTTAAATAAACAAGGGATTAGGGTTTAATTCGTTTAATTTCAAAACTAGCACGAGCTTAAAAAGTAATTAAACCAAAAAAGTTGAGACAGTTTAGTTTCATTGATTTCAAAACTAATAGGGGCTTAAAGTGTAACTGAATCACAAAATATGAAGCGAGCTAGGGCTTAATTACGTTGATTTCAATTATAAGGCCTTAAAGAGTAATTGAACTAGGACTCAATTACATAGTTATCAGGACTATCAGGACTTAAAGAGTAATTAAACTAAAAAAATGTTACCTTAGATGGATGATAGGGTGAGGTTTCGTAGTTCGAAAACGATGTGTTCGGTAACTCAAATGCATCCTGGGACAAGTATTGCATCCATTTAACATCGTTGGCATCGCAAATGTTGATAGATGATCGATCAAGAATACTCGGCGAACGTGTATCGACCGGTATCGTGAAATCGGAACTCTCTTCGTACCTGCCCTCGGAGTACAATTCGAGGCTTGATGAATGTTCACAACCGATCTGATTCGAACTCGAAACATGTTGGCAATGCTCTCCACCAACCTTGGGGATGATTGCAGTTTTCTTGAACACACGGCAAAGAGCATAAGCATCCTGCAGGAGGAACCAATATATATAGTGAGTTCATGTAATTGAACATATGATTAAATAAACCGTAAGTGAAGGACGCAAAATTTTATGTTAATGGGTGGATTCGTGCATCATTGATAAGAAGTGAGAAAACGTTGAGGTCACCTGCAACCCTAAGGAAGCCGATTCACATTCTCTCTCGTCGAGACGATACTCATGCATGACCCAATTTGTTCGAGTACCATGCGGTGCTCGTCCTCGATAGTAAACCAGTGTTTTCTTCATCCCGACAGCGCGTGTCTGCGAGTTCACTTTCCTGTCCTTCCCGGTGGCTTTCCAATACCCGGATTTCGTTGCTCGATTAGTCCTTGAACCGTTCGGGTACTTACGATCTCGAGGACTGAAAAAGTACCATTCCATATCTTTGCTAGGTAATAAGGATCTTCCTGCAAATTTTTTTTGTTATCAATAAAGCATGTTTAATGGTGCATGTGATTACCGAATAAGTTTTATCAAATTTTTTATCGAATAGATTTTTGTTCAATCTTAATTTAAGGGGTTGTGAATTTGAATAAATATAATATATTTAATTTAACATCTATTAATAATACATAAATTATATATTGAGGTTTAACCCCACAACTTTTTTTTAATTTGATCTTTATAAAATATTTAATTTGAAATTTCAACATATTGATAAGTTTAGTAATTATCTTATGACTGTTTGATAACTTTTAATGATTGTTTTAGTTTTTTATTAGTTTGAAATAATCAAGATAATATATGTATTTGACAATAAACACACATGTAATTGTTCAAATTCAAAATTTTAAATAAAACGATACTCCCTTTTATTACAGATGTCGCATAACGGATTCTGATAAATTTTGTAACATTTAAAAAAATTCACACAAAAAGAGAATGGAAGAATACCTGGCAAGTCCCAAGGCTCGCACTTGTAGAGATCAACTTCAGGGATGATCTCCAAATCAATCTTGCGTCCATTAATCTTGTTCTTGAGATAATAAACAATAAGCTCCTCATCAGTGGGATGGAACCTAAACCCAGGCGGCAACGAAACACCGCTCATCTTTTCGATATTCGGAGACAGAGAAAACCAAAGGGATTTTAAAGAAGAAGATGAAGAGAGATGAAGACAAAAAGAAGAAGAAGAAGAAGAAAAGGTGAGAAGGAGACCAACTCTTTGGGTTGCTTTTTGTATGAGCTTTTGCTTTTGATTTGATGTAATCGATGATTCCTTTTCCCTTTGCCAATAAATCCATGGTTTGATGCTTTGGCTTACGATTATCCCATGCTTCATGCAGTGTGCTTTCCTCCGAATCTGGGCTACGTACCTCTCCACGTGCCGAATCTGGGGTTTTGGCGACGCCTTGCTTCCTCGGTTTTCCCTCCTTTCCAAGTCTATATTTGCCCACCACTTTCCTCACCCCTTCACATTGCACCTCTTCTTTTTTAGGGTTTTCTTATGTAAATTATTATAATGGGTAACTTGTTTTTAATTTTTTGATTAATTAATCTAGATTGAATAGTAATGTAAAGGTCTATTATAAGGATGACCCTCCCAACTAAATATTCTTTATTCACAATGTCAGGATTCAAACTTCCGATATTACTTAAAGTATTTAGTATCTCATTTCACTAGAACAACAAATTATTGGTTCAGTCTGATATCTTTTGACTTATCAGTCAAAAAATGCCTATATAAGGCATTGAAAAGAAAATATTGCACTTGAATTTTTTTTATTTTCTCAAGTAGGGAGAAGTCTACTGTGTTCAATAAAGACAGTCAAATGATATGGCATTTCAGGAAAGTTGATCGAACGACATGTCGTTTTTCAATCTCCGTGCATGACCCATCTAGAGCGTCAACAGAGGTTATTTGTAGAAGACGTCACGTCATTCGACCGTCTTCCTGACGTCATACTATAATTTCGACATCTTCCCCGACACACTATACAAAGAACCATACATGAAAAAAATAAAATCTGGTGGCTACTATTTTGTGATTTTTCCATCTTCAATAGTTAGCTAGTTTTACCTATTTATCATTTCGGATTCATTAATAACTTTTTTTTAAAAAAAATTACAGATCATTTATATATATTATACTGAACTTAGTGTTTTTAGGCTGACTTAATTACCCATTCGATTGAGAAAACGTTTAGATTGCATGGATCAAATAGTCGGCATTCTAACCCCGTGTCTAGTGGTTACATACACATACATTTATTTATAATCATATAATTTTTAAATTAAATGATTATGTTATTTTTAAAATATAATAGCAAAATAGTTACAATAAAATATATTAAAAGTTAATTTAAAATATCAAAATGTTATATTAACTGATGCAAAACGATATAGGCTGAAATTGATGTAATATTACCAATTTCTCAACATCTAGCAGTCCTTTTATACCTCATGGGAAGTCCTCCTCGTGTTACACCTCTCATTTTAAATTCTCAAAAAAAAAAAAAAGCAGCCTTTTATATTTAAGAGAATTTTGATATCCCAATTTTAAGTTTCACGTGGTGTAAATAATGTTTAAGTTCTCTTGAGATTTATTATAGTTTAATTTTTATTATATGTGTAGGTTCTATCCAGATTTATTTAAATATATTGTGATTATTAATCAGTCATATACTAGAATGATATATTTTAAATATAATTACTTAAATATTTATTTATAATTTTACTTAAATTATTGTACTCAGATTAAATTCAAGTAAAAAAAATATTATATTTGAATTAAATTAGAATTAATCAAAATGCAATCCAATTTAACTCATGCTCGTCTTAATTATACTAAAACAAAATCATGACAAGATTTGACCTTTGGATTATCCACCTAATACCCAATCTCTATGCTGGCACATTTGATGGAAAGTTTTCATTTTTATTTAGTATATCAAGAAATTGATGGGGGTACAACCTTGTGAATGGGAAATTATGCAAATGAGTGTGAGGATTGAACTACTCTTTTTTATTGGTACGTTTAAATCTTTGAAATGTCCCTAATATCAAGTTTTTTAATAATAATTTTATCCAACAAGAGAGTATTGTAGTACGTAGTAAAAGGTTTGTCGAGGAGATAATAACAGGGAGATCGTTCCATCAAACTCTTCACTTTAAAAATTAAATTTCCTTCATTTTATTAAACATCTTCACTTTAAAATTAAATTATTAATAATATTAATATTTATATATCTTTTTTAAATTAGAATATAATGCTTTCATGTACTTGAGTCCGAGCTTGAACCGAGTTAGAGTTTGAGCTTCAATTGAGCTAAGATTGAGAATGTTTCAAGTTCAAGTTTTTTTGAATTCGAGTTGAACTTAATAATTTTAAACTCACAAGTTTTCTAGTCGAGTCGAGCTTAGTTTTAAATTTTTTTCAATTCATTTTAACTCCGATACTCAAACTCGATTTGATTTGAGTACATCTAACCACTCCAATTGGGTCAGGTGTCAAGGGTGTAAACGAGCTAAGTCGACCTCGGGTATTGCCAAACTCAACTCAAACTCGAAAAATTTAAATGTAAGCTCGACTCGAAAACGCTAGCCTAAAATTTTCAAGCTCAACTCGAAAGATAATATTAAAACTCGACTTGAACTCAAAAAGGCTCAAACTAAAAAAAATCAAGAGCTCAACCAAGCTCGAGACTAAGCTCGTTTCAAGCTCGATTCAAGCTCAAGTGCTTACCAAGTGGCTCCATAAATTAAACCATTGAGTTTGAGCTTTAATTTATAGGATCACTTGTGGAGCACTTACTTCTATCTTAAAGATGTGGGATATAAGGTCACATGTTGTGTGTGGGATATATGGTCGGAACTTCACCCTCTTCCCCGTGCTCTTCACCCTCTTCAACACCCTGTTAATCGGAGATTGCTAAACAAGCTTCATTGAAGCCTCCAACACAGCAACATCAACATCATCATCATCAAGATCAAGGGATACCCCCATCAAGATCGATGGCACCAAACGGAGAAGCCTGTGCCAACTACTTCTACAAAAACAACAACTTCTTTCTTGGCATCTTCTCCAGCAGCGAAGCCAGTGGTTACTAATACCACGATGAAAGTTTCACCTGCCAAGACACCTCCAACTGCAACATCAGTGGCAAGTTTCCCAACCCAAATGCCTACCTCCTATGTGACCACCACTACCCGTATGCCTAACCCGAAATCATCGATGACCAAACCGGCAACTGGCAGGCCACCTTCTCCTTTTGCTCTATTGGAATATGCATTCTGGAATATACATTTGCATTCTAGAATATGCATTGTTAACGTGTAATGTGTGCATGCACTGTTAATGTGTGCATTGAGTGTGTGTGTGTGTGAGTTGTTATGGTTGTTAAGGATAGGGACGTTTTGGATTCTGTTATGAATGTTGTTATAGGAAGCTAAGAGATTGAGTAAGCTTGAAGTCATAGCTGCTATATAAGCTGATTGTGATGTAGTTGCACGTGAAGCATAATAGTAATAGCAGATGTTATTCATTTGATCTTAATTCTCAACATGGTATCAGTTGCTAAAGATCTTGAAGCCTTTCTTCCGCCGCACCTTTCTTTCGCCACTGTTATCTCCATTACCTTTTTTCAAGTTGTTTTTCTTCATCCGTGTTTTTCTTCATCTTCTGCTCTTCATTGAATGATGTTGCTGTCATCGCTAGCACCACCTGTTTCTTATTCTTTTTCTGCCGCAAGTATCGCATCATGAGGTGATTGTCTCTTTTATCACCAGTTTTTCTTTAACATCAATATTGAAGAATTTTGAGTTAAACAATGATGGCTCTGTCGTGCATTTATCATTTATGATCTTATTTGGAATCATCTACTACATGTTCGACGTTTTGTTTGTGAGAGTTCGGTAGTGACAATGTTTTCTCCCGCTGCTTGGAATTCGTTGGTGCTATCGTGACTGTTTCCAGCGCTGTTAATGATCGTATCCACCTGTTATTCTCTTGCCGCTCTTGTTATGATGCCTTTTCATCACTGCTGCAAAATTGCTCTCAAATATCTTGTATGTTTTTTAGGTTCATCGGATCTCTAATTGTTTGTTATCTTCGTCGATTCACTAGTCGAACTTCCTCTATTTCATATCAGAATCTCATATCTGAATCTGGTTCCTTGACGCTAGTTGGTTGTTCATTGGTAGTGTTACAAATTTGATGGTTTGCTACGTCAAAGTTTCATCGTCATCGCTTCATGTTTTCTGGCGACTGTTGCAATTCTACAATGAGATATGTTGAGTTTGTTTTTCAGGTTCTATCTAAATGCATGCTGCCTCCTCTATCATTCGTGTTTGGTTACTGATTCATGTCTCAGCCACTATCATTTCTTAGTTTTAGATGGTAATTGATTTTGGAATATCAGTTGTTGTTTGTCTACTGCTTATGCTTTATTGAGATTAGTTTTGTGTTGGTGATTCACAATGGTTAATCAAATCTGGTTTGGTGATTGGATTCTTGCATTTGGGACGTTATTCAAGTAAGAAATCAAAGTTAGCGTGAATTTGAGCAGAGTAGCAACATGTGAGAATTCTGATGTAGTGATTTAGTTGTTGCATAGACGTGCATACTCCTCCTTCTGAGTCTTGTTCTGTTGACTTTTACTGAATTGGTTACTGCTGATGGTTGGCTGAATACTTGTTCATTGGTATAAGCGAGTTAATTTGGTTGAGAACAATGGTATTGTTTTGGTGATCTCTTCAATAGTCATGGTCTGTTTAAAAACAACTTATTGTTGTGGTATCTTTTCATCATTTGTTACTTTTTCTCCAAAGAAATCATGGGACTTGAAAGCTTCACAGAAAATCTAAGGGCACATTGGGTAAAAGGATGAAGAAGGAAGAAAATAAAGGTGAGTAAAGTAGAACGAAGGGAAGCATCGCACTTTTGATTCTCGTCTATAGTAGAACGAAGGGAGGCGTCGCACTTTCGATTCAAGAAGAACGGAAGGAAGCATCGCACTTTCGATTCAATTAGAAAGGAAGGAAGCATCGCACTTTCGATTCAACTAGAACGGATGATTTACTAAATCATTGTCCAAATATTCGTTTGAGCAATTTCGACCCAAAGTGCAGATTTTCTCATTTACTCAAGGAGAAGGAAAAGAGTAGGGAGAATATTGAAATATGCATTCTGGAATATACATTTGCATTCTAGAATATGCATTGTTAACGTGTAATGTGTGCATGCACTGTTAATGTGTGCATTGAGTGTGTGTGTGTGTGAGTTGTTATGGTTGTTAAGGATAGGGACGTTTGGATTCTGTTATGAATGTTGTTATAGGAAGCTAAGAGATTGAGTAAGCTTGAAGTCATAGCTGCTATATAAGCTGATTGTGATGTAGTTGCACGTGAAGCATAATAGTAATAGCAGATGTTATTCATTTGATCTTAATTCTCAACATGCTCTCTCACCTTTCCAGTTGAAAGCTCAAGCTGAGACTGATCCCAAGAAGATTCAAGCTGAGACAGAGCAAAAGACGATCGACAAGCCCAAGGGATGGCTATTTGGTGACACTCGCAAAGCAACATCCAAGGGAAGTGAGGCAAAGGGCAACAAGTATTTTCTGACTCCGAGGATGCAAGAATGAAGATCATAAAAATTACTGGTGATAATCAAGGCGCTTTCATGGAGATAAACCAACCATCTCACCATAAAAATGGGTTTCAGGGAACTTCATTTCGCCTCGAAAACATGTATATGCATGTTTAATAAATTTATAGTTTGGTAGGTTATATTTTAATTTTTGTATTTCAATCACATTTTTTAAATTTTCTTATTTGTTTTAAATGGTACGGTGTCATTTATGTTATTTTCCATATTATTTTAGCTTAAACCGAATAGGATCAATTGCATATAATACCCTATAGTTTATGCACATTTTGTATTTAAGTCATTGGTTTAATTCCAATTTTGTAAGTTTAATTTTACATTTACGTGAATTTAATCATCATTCTAAAGTTAGTATATTTAGCTTAAATTAGTCCTCACATTTAGATTTCTCTTAATTTAGTCCCTGTTTAGGATTGTTTTCTTTAATTAGTTGTGTATATTTATTTTGCATGTTGATATGTTTATGTATAAGTATGCGATTGATTTATTTAGGAGTCACATAACATCATTTTGCATAATTTGTATATTACCTTCATGTGTATAACTTAACCCCTATCACATAATTAGATTTAGGTTTTAGGGTTTAGGGTTTATTACAAAGATATTAATTAATCGACTTGGTATCGATTTATGAGGTAAGTATAATTTAGGGTTTAAAGTTTAGGGTTTAAGGTTTAAGGTTCATTGTAATGATATTAATTAAAATTTGAGGTTGTTGTATTATATAATTTTTAATATATTTTTAAAATATTTTAATTATCAATAGTGTATTTTTAATATATTTTTAATAATGTAATTTTAAAAAATCTAAAAATATAACATTTTTCGAGCTGCTCACGAGCTTTTCGAGTCGAATATCGAGTAGGTTGTTCAGGCTCGTTAAGAACTTGAGTCCAGTCCATTCGATTCGAGTATTTATCGAACCTTGATCGAAGAGATCTCGAATAACTCGCGATCTGTCTCGTCTAATTTACAGCCCATTTACAGCCCTAGGTGTCAAGATGTCCGTCATGCTAGCTTCGTTTCTACGACTGATTCTAAATACTATATTATTTTAATATTTTGAAAACTTGGTAAACGTAGCTTCGAATTTCAAGAGGCTATTCGAATTTTACTATAAAAAGCTCACGTAGACATCCTCCTCACTCCACACTCTAATACACTTGCCGTTCCTCTCCATTTCCTTGTTTCTGTTATTCTTCTTGTTTGTTTTCCGATGGAAAAACTGGATCACATCAAATCTCACCTTCCTTCACTAACTCAAATCAGGTACGCTTTCTCTGCTTTTCTTTTTATTTTCTCGGAGAATTTGTAATTGACAATAACGATAACGATGATTCCAATGTTTGATTATTTCTCAGTGAAAATGAGAAAAACGGATTCATCAACCTCGTCTCCCGCTATCTCAGGTAAGGTGTCCGTTTCAATTCAAACCGTTTTCCTTTTTTTTCTCTCTTTGATCGTTGTTAGTTAGATTTTGAATTCTGATATTTCGAAAATGGCGATTTGAATTGTTATAAAAAAAGTGGAGAAGCACAGCATGTAGAATGGAGTAAGATCCAAACACCGACTGATGAAGTTGTTGTTCCTTATGACACATTGGCTCCAATTCCTGAAGGTAGTTATCTAATTTAATTTTAATCTATTGAAAAAAAAACGAATAGGGAGTTTGCCTTTCTTTTGATCTAATGAATAAATCTCAATGCAGATCCAGCTGAAACTAAGAAGTTATTGGACAAACTTGTTGTTTTAAAGCTTAATGGAGGCTTGGGGACGACTATGGGATGTACTGGTCCTAAGTATGATATTTTTCTTTCTAATCAGTCACCATTAGTTACTTTTATGTTTTGCATTGTTTAGTAATAAAATTATTTAATTGTTCCTTTGTTTGATTTTTTTTCTCGAAAACAGATCTGTCATTGAAGTCCGCAATGGCTCCACATTTCTTGATCTAATTGTTGCTCAAATTCAGGTTATAAATTTTCCTTCCCTTATAAGTTGTTGATTTTCGTTTTTGTCTTATGTTATAAGATGCAGCTCATTTGAAAACCGTCTTTTTCTTTGTTTTGATCAGAATCTTAATACGAAATATGGATGTAGCGTTCCATTGGTGCTGATGAACTCATTCAATACCCATGATGACACAATGAAGGTTTATTTCTACATTTATATAACTTTTTCCTTCACCTCAACTGATTTATTTTTCTTGTCATCAGCATTCGATCTATTTTTCATATAATTATTGTTCAATGCAGATTGTCGAAAATTACTCCAATTCAAACGTAAAAGTTCATATTTTTAATCAGGTTTAGAAATTGAATTTCACCTTCTCAAGATTCAATTTAGACTCAACGACATAAAACAGAGATCCATTTCTTGTATTCTCTTTTCTCTGATTTCTCCCCTCATTTCTTGGATATTCATAGAGCCAATATCCTCGTCTGGTGGCTGAAGATTTTACTCCATTTCCTTGCAAAGGGCAGCCTGGAAAGGATGGATGGTAAACTTTGTTGCTCTATTTCCTTCTTTTAATCTAGTCCCTCTATTACAGTAGGGATGCATGGCAATCTTAATGCTAAACTACAGATAGAGACGAACAGTAATTTAAAGGGCCTGAATTCTTTTTATTTCATCCACTTCTCTCACTTTATATGCCTTCATTATCGGTTGTGATTACTATTTTTTAGCTGCTTAGCTTCATCTGAATTACTATTTGCTTCCCAACTTGTAAGAACATTGTAAAGTTTTGAAGCTTTGAAGTGGTTTTAAAAAGGGATGGATGTATCATAGATGTAAACTGGTTAGTTTTCATTCAAGAAAGTATGGGGAGTTCATGTGGAATTAATATTTAGAGTTTCAGAATAGTCTTACAGCTGTTATATCTGAGCCATAACCCATTTATAAGAGAAGTGTTATTGTCTTTGTTGTTTCCAAAACTGAGCTACGAATTTACGTATATTTTTGTTAAATGATGTATGTTTCTTAGTTTAACGCATTCACAGGATAATTGAAGAGTGTCATAGTTTTAGAAAATGAAGTATAAGGTTTTCCCTGGATTCTTTATGCTGTAGTGGGATGAAATTATTGGACTGCTTCTCAGTCTCTTCTATATTTTCTATAACGTTCATAATGAAGAATAATGTTCATAACACTCTCACTTTTGATTTTTCTTCACTTATTGCATTGAATAGGTTTCATTTTGAGTTTCTTGTTCAATGGTAATCTCTTTACTAGAGCATTTCTTTTCTGGATGAAGGTATCCTCCTGGTCATGGTGACGTGTTCCAATCTCTAATGAACAGTGGCAAGCTCGATACTTTCTTATCAGAGGTTATGGCTGCAATGCAATGTGATTTTTTTCCAAAACATTTGGTGCATAGGCATAAATTCTTTCTGGTAACATATTTGTGTTTCATTGTTCGTACAGGGCAAGGAGTATGTGTTTGTTGCCAACTCAGACAACTTGGGTGCTATTGTTGACTTGAGTATCCTCATTTTGGTTTCCAATGAATTCAACTTGTTAGTTATTAGTCACGCACACACTCTTAAGACATGAATCTCAACTTTTTTCCTTTCTGGCAATGTTAGTCCTTGACAGGGGATCTAGAAATCTTGAATCATTTGATCCAAAATAAGAATGAATACTGTATGGAGGTACAGGAAGATAACTATAATCTGTTCTATTCGGTTTCCCTAGCTTTGTGATTATTGCTACATTGCTTCTTTTTTCTTTTTGTAGGTGACACCCAAAACCTTAGCTGATGTGAAGGGCGGCACTCTTATATCTTATGAAGGAAAAGTTCAGGTATGAAATGAACTCTTATTTGCTTTTAGAATTTGTCTTTCAATCCTATCGCCTTTTATTAACAGAAGTATATCTGAGGTTTTAAAGATAAACAACCTATCTTGCTTTTAAGCATAGGAATGTGGAGTAGAATTACTACTGATTTATAAGTGCCATAGGTAGAATTTTAGAGTATAATTACAGGTTCACATTTTTTATGATAATGGCTTATTGGCTTGGTAAACAAATGCATAAACAACCTCATACTTTCTAAAACTTTATTAATGGATTTTCCTATTGCAGAATAAATAATAATTATTATTGTTTTTTAGATTTTTCTACTGCATAATAAATTAACATTATTATTGGTTTTCACTACTGCAAAATAAAAAAAGTACTGAGTTATACTTGAATCTCCATATCTTTAGAATAATGGAAAAGCTGGAGTTATTTCTGCAGAAAATAACTTATTGCAGTTAAACCAGAAGAATTTACTGCTTAAGCTTTTGTCCATAGCTGATTGTCTTAGTTTATTTTTTAATTTTGCGAACATGTTATTAACCTTTTTTAGTACATAATGGTGAATCACCAACCGAGAAGGAAAAAACCAAATGTTTCCTACTTTAACTAATTAACTGACACTGTTTTTATTTGTGTAATTCAGCTCCTTGAAATTGCACAAGTCCCTGATGCACATGTAAGTTGTCCGTTTTCCATCTTTCTTTGTCTATTTGTTGTTTTGTTATTCATTCTTTTCCACCCCAATTTGCATTTGACTTGATTTGTTTAATGGAGAAAATGTAGTTTTGCTAATCATCTGTCAGGTCAATGGCTGATGTGATTCTCTTTGTAACAGGTCAATGAATTCAAGTCCATTGAGAAATTTAAAATTTTCAATACAAACAATTTGTAAGTTACCCTCCCTTAACTATCGTAACTGATTATTGGTTTAGCACTGATCATTTATTTATTTACAGGTGGGTGAACCTGAAAGCAATAAAGAGGCTTGTGGAAGCTGATGCACTCGAGATGGAAATCATCCCAAACCCAAAGGTTTGTTTCTTTGTTTTTTCATTACCATGTTGCATCTGGTAGAATTCTGATTACCAAATAATAAAATTGGCTGCAGGAGGTCGATGGAGTCAAAGTTCTTCAACTGGAAACTGCAGCTGGTGCAGCAATTAGGGTATACATTGTCCTATTTACTCTTATGATCTATCACAATCTTAAAAAGTGGTTTAACTCTGTTATTTCCATGTGTGAACAAGTTCTTTGAACATGCTATTGGTATCAATGTACCTCGATCACGATTCCTTCCGGTGAAGGCGTCTTCAGATTTGTTTCTTGTCCAGGTTATTGTCTTCTTCCTCCAACACTGCACCCTGGATAGTAATTAGAACCTTCCTTTAACACATCCTCATATTTTCATTCGCAGTCTGACCTCTACACCTTAGCTGATGGCTTAGTTAGCCGCAACAGTGCTAGAGCGAATCCGGAAAATCCATCCATTGAATTGGGGCCTGAATTCAAGAAGGTTAGTACTTGTCATGTTGATCTCGCACTTTAACATCGATGCTATTTCGATAACGACGTTGATATTTCGTAATCTGCACAACAGGTTAGCAACTTCTTAAGTCGGTTCAAGTCAATCCCAAGCATCATCGATCTTGACAACCTTAGCGTGAGTGGCGATGTATGGTTTGGTGCTAATATTGTTCTCAAGGTATTTTACACCCTCCAATTTCCGTATAGCTACTTGTACGTTTTAGTTCCATCTCGCTATATAAGAAGCATTAAGTTAATAGCTTTAGCTGAATGGTCATCATTTTACAGGGGAAAGTGAAAATTGCTGCAAAAGATGGAGTAAAGTTGGAGATTCCAGATGGAACCGTACTCGAAAACAAGGTAAAACGATGAGATGCAGTCTCTTCTTTACTCGCATTACCAGGGATTTAAATTACGGTTACAGTCATGTTTATCGTAATAGCGGCAATAGCAGATGCTATTATAATCATTATGGGTATCGTAGTCATGCAATAATGAATTAACGATTTCAGGCGACACCTTTACCGTAATATAACAGCCGCTATTTAAATCCCTGAGCATTACATGGATCATTTTTGTTTTGGCTAATTGTGTGTTGTTTATTTTGTGGCTAGGAAATCAATGGCCCCGAAGACTTATCCGGCTAAAGGTTGATGAATGTTAAAGGTTGTAGTATCTGCTTTTTGTCTTGCGGAAGTTTTATTCGAGTCTTGAGAATGTTTTCATATATATATATTGGTTGGTTTTGCTCCGCATACTGCTGAAAAACATGGTTCCGATATTGATTTGATTTGAAAATATTGTTCCATGAGTACTGCTTTTATCTCATTAGTAACTCAAATACAAGACTCCACAATTATAAAAACTAATTAACATAAATAAATAGTAATTAAACATGTTGGTACAAAATTTATTAGTATACAAGAAAATGATTTCAGGTAAAGAGATTTTATGTGCCAAAATAAAATTTATCAAACTCCAATCCCTTTTTGTTTATAGAACAAATGGCAACCCTACCTGCAAACTCTTCGAATCAAGGAATAAAAAATTGGACAGTGTACAGAACTGGTTGGACCTTCGGTTCTAAGTTCAACAACAAAAAGATATGAAGTTGGCAGGGGATGCACCTAGAGGGGCCGGGTGGGGAAGGTTGCTCCCTCATAAAATTTTCAAATTCCTATGTATTTTAGATATTTTCTTTATACTTTCTATTGAAAACATGATTTCGCTCCATAAAATTTTATAAATTATTTCGTACTTAAAATTTTATAAGTTTGTCATCCCTAATATGAAATACTGGGTTCGTACTGCCGCAACCAAACTATCAAACTTCCCTTTTCCATGGCTTCAGTTCTGGACTTTCTGAGATTTTGCAATGACGAACATGTATGAATGTCATTTTGCATCATCTTCAAACAGATTTATGGTATGGGATTTTCTGACTGCGTCTTCAAACTGTCGATTCACTTGATGGAATGAGCAACGCCCCATCGGTCGATGGAAGAGTGGTTGTATTTTGCTGTTTTGCTTGTACCTGCTCCAGTTCTTGTTCTGTGAACACTTCGAATTGCAAAAAGGGGCCATGTTCTTCTCATGCAGCCATGTCAATTACCAGAAACTCTCTCCACCGAGATCATCACATGCAGAAATGGACCTATCGACGTTTTGGTTTGAGAGCTGATGAGGTGAGAGAGACGGGGAGGAGACGAATACGATGGTGGTGATGGTTTAAGGACCTATGTCATGTTTTGATAGTAATTTAAGGATAAAACTAAATATTAATTTTTTTGTTAACGTTATCAATTTAATAAAAACAACGATAAGTGACCATTTTATTATAAATCGATAATATTAATAATAATAGTTGTCGTTAAATTGCTATTTAGCATTTTAACAATGAGTGTAATATTGAGTTACTTTGTTGATTTTGTAGATCAGCAGATTAGTGCTCGAGTAGACTGGCACTGTTGGCATTAGCTCCTATATATTAGGTCTGTTGTATGTATGTATGATTTATTTCTATTTAGGATTAAAGAGGTTTTAGTGAGATTTATAGTCTATATAGTTTATTATTATAATAAAGTTCTCTCGATGAGAAAAAAGAAAAACACATTACACATTTAGAAAATATAAACACCATATTAGTAAAAATGACAAAGTACAAAAGCATTGATGCCATTGTTATGAAATTAATCCCCAACAAATAAACATATTTTAATATATCTAAATCATATCATAAATAAATCCTCAATCATAATTAAAGAAAAAGAATACTATTTTGACAAAGACGAAAAGACTCATTAAATGATTTCAATAATAAAAGATAATGTTGACTAAGAGGTCATGAGTTCAAACAGCGGCATTTATGGGATGTGTGTACGTTATTAATAGATTAAGAAAATCCATATATTATCTTGTAATCATTATAAACTATTAAATTTTTTGAAATAGACCAACGTATCAAGAAGAAGTATCAAATCTTAAATCATGGAGTAGTAAAAGAAAGCAATACATCAACAATTGATAAAAATGCACTCACCTTAATTTAAGAATGATGGACCAACAACTATATCAAATATATATCTATAAACAAAACATATTATACTTTTTAAACTGAATTGATTATATAGTGGATGTAGTAATTAATATCAAATTGATTGTTTTTAAAAAAACACTAATAAAAAATTTAATAATTAAACGAGATTATATTGATAATATTTTATAAATCTATAAACTTAAAGTAAAAATAAAAGAAAAATATAGGATACAAGATAAAAGGAATGAATCATCTTTCTATTGCTCACTCCATTCATAAGTACATGATCACTATTTATAAAGTTTTAATATTTATAGATTTTATGAATATGAACTCTAAAGTTCGTACTACAATGGATATAAAATTTAGTAACTTAATGAATGGAAGTTGTATGAATATCCACTTAAGTAGATTTATAGCATGTATTTTTTAATTATCGGCATCTGATTTATTAATTGACTATTTCGAATAAATTTCTGTAGATGTTTATTAAAAGACAATCCTCCTATCCCAATTTACTCAATTCATAAATGTCAGAATTCGAATTTATAACCTTGCTTAAAGGATCTACCTTCTCATCTCATCAAACTAATTAATTATTGATTGATTTATAACATGTTTTTAATTTTTCTAAAATGTTTTCATAATTTTATAACATGTTGATTCCAAATTATCAATAATTACATATTATTTTACGGTGCGGTAATTTAATTTAAAGTTAATTTAAGATGGTTTCAACTTAAAATGTTGTCATCTTTAACTTAAAAAGTTATACAAACTTATAAAACTTTAGATTGAAACTGAAAAGTTACATTGCAAAGGTTTGTAACTTATAATCGAAAATACTAAAAAATAACATTTTCGATTATAACTTATAAAAGTTTAAAAATTACTCCTTCTTATCTAAAAGATTATACTTTTGGTAAGATTTTCTATTATAACTAATTTTTATATTTTTAATCTTATATTAATAAATTGTATTTTATCTAGGATGAGACATTAAATTTCTTAAATAAGGTCGATGGGATGAGACACTAGATTACTTAACCAAGGTTGATAGTTTAAATCTTGATGTTTACAAATGGAGCAAACTGAGTTAATAAGATTACCATTGTCTCTGTAACATTTGATCTAAATTAGTTGATAAATTAGTTGATAAATAGATTAGATTTTCGAAAATGACCATCCAACTCAGTTAATAGAGTGGGAACAAGAGACAACTATTTTTTGGAGAATTCAAAAATAAATTATATTTGAAAACTCCTAATAATTTTGCCGATTACTTGGTACCTTTGTATTTTCTCCCTCGCCCCTTCCCCTCACTCCGTTTTCCCTCTTCTTTTTCCTTTCATTTTCCTTTCTATATTTCTTGCCCTTTTTCTCTAGTTTCCATCACCTTCAGCTTGTGGCCACCACCATATATCTCACGCGCCGCCCCTCACTTAATCTCACTTTGTCGCCAGCTCTGACCCTCTTCCTCTCTGCAGCTCAACTACACATTGGGTAAGTAAAGACTTTTGCTGATTTCTCTATATTCCTTTTTGTTTACTTTTGGGGTTTTGCTATTTTCTTTCTTGATCTCTCTTTGATTTGGTCATCCAAGTAAGTTTGCTTCAAATACCATTATTTTGTTTTTCTTTGATGGCACTAGTTTCAGAAATTTTCAATCTTTTTAAGGGCCAAAGGGAGGAAACCAGTATGTGTTCGTGGACAGCAGCCGAGTCAGACGTGGTAGTGAAGAACCGATTAGTAGGGTTACTACTATGGCAGTCGATTCTAAGTAGCTTGATTTTCTTGGCATTCACGAAAACAATCGTCTCCTGGCGCTCCTTCACTACAATTTTCATCTCCTTTTTCAGCTTTCATCTCTCCCAGCTGCTCTTCTCTTTTTCGCTCTCGACCGTCTTATCTCCACAACCTAAATTTAGACGTATTTTTCCGGTGTTGCTGGCCGTGGCGGCTGTTTCGGGTTCTCTCTTGGCTCTTTCTCTTTGCGGTGTCAATGGAAGAGTGGAGTTTAAGGGTTTTGTTTCGGGGTTACTCTATGCTTCTTTTTATATTTATAAACGGCGATGGGTATTGCAGTTCCCCATTGTTCAGGTGAATTGATGTTGTTAGTGTTTCTTGTTTTAAATCGTCTTTTTAATCTGTTTTATGACTTGGGTTTTGTTTGCTCTTTGTCGACAGCGTCCCCTGTTCTTTAGCTTCAAGATGGGGATCCCTTCCGCCATTGCTAGAGCATTAAAGCTTTCTGCTGCTGCTTATCTATTTTCAACTCTGCTGTTGGGTTTTTGCCGCACGATTTAGCACCGAGCTCGAGCTCGAGCTCGGAAACTTTTTGCTCAGCTTATAATCTCTTACGCTGCCGGCTTTTCTGTGTATCTTTGTTGGGAGTTAACTCACCATTTGCATCAGGTTGGTTTGAAATTTACAAAATTATTGTCATTTCTTACATATTGTGTGATTAAAGCTCAAAATGCTGTTATTTTCCAACACTTTTAGGATGGGTAAACCACCTTTCTAATTCTTAGACATATTCTCATTGACCTATAGGGCTTCTATGTGAATGAATAATTCATGATATTAGCTGCCAGGTTCGAAAGAGGATTGAATCTATAAATCAATTATATTCATCATTGTTAACTGTTTCAGTCAATTAAGCATATGTACTCATAGTTGTTGCATAAGAAACACTCGCCACCATTCTTGCATCTTCTTTCTTGCCTCCCAAAGCAGCAAATTCCTCATTTTTTTTATCTTCTCGACCTTTGATAGCCGTATTGATCATCAACTATTTGTAGTTTGCCAAATGTCTTGGCTGCTTGGGCATTTGGAATGGTGTTTTCACTTTCTCAAAAATGCTAAACTAATGTCATCGTATTGGTCACTATTTCACTTCCTTTTGCATGCTTTTATAGTTCATAGAGAACATATTCGTTCACATTCACTGATGTTCCTTAATATAAATCTTTCTTTTTACCTATATACATGTTCTGTTATAGGTGCTACATACAAAAAGGTTCATGTTTGCACCACCAAAAGGATCAGCAGCAGCAGAAACAAATCCGAGTGAACCGCTCCTAGCTGCATTAGAAGAGACATCTCCAGCTTCTCTTCTGAAATATCTTGCATACCTTGATCTATGTATGGTTTGTGAGAATAATGTTGACTACTGGCGTCGAGCTTCCTTCTTTGAAGAAACTGGTGAGACTTACAAAAGAGTTGCAGCTGTATGCTTGAGGCCTTTGGAGCAGCTTACATCAAAGTTGGTCCAAGGTCTTGATGGCTCTCCAGATGATAAAACCTACTTGATATCTGACCAGTTGCAGTTATCAACTAACCGACAGAATTCAAGATGCTCCGAACTAATGAACGACTTCCAGGTATGACAACATTTTCTAGAGGTGTGCATGCATCCATTCCGCATGTTCTTCATGTAGACCCAGTAGACCACAATGATCGAGTGCACATTAACTGCAAGAATCTTTTAGCAATATAACTCCAATTATTGAATCAGGGAAGAACACGGTTGTCTATAACATGTTTTTTAAATTGTTCACCTTATGGGCAACATGGTTTGATGGGAAGGCTATGTTTCCCGAACACTTCATCATCCTTACAGCACTCATGTTTTATACATATTTGGATATGATACATGGTATTAACTTTCAAATTATACAGAGAAGTTGAAAATGTTTTCACATATTTGTGTTGGACAAATATTCGTATCCAACACTCACTTCCATCTCCAGGTCAAGTATTTTCCTCATTAGGGACGGGGCAATCTTACATCCCTAGGTGGCACAGGTAGTTGGTTACATACACACTTTTCTTTGTAGGCTTAATTTGCTTGCAGTAATTGCTTTCATTGCGCGTTAGCTCGGTTCTCTTTGTTTCTTTGTGGTTGCTTGCTTAGTGTCTATCCCCAAAATGTGTATCAAGACACGTTGAAGCAGGCCGGCCATAGTTTTTTAGGCTAATTGTAGTCATCCAAGGTTCAATTGTACTCTTTTTGGTTATGTTGGATGTTTATCTGTTGCAAGAAAATTCATCTCTACGCATGGACTACTTGGTTCTTTTGTAGCATTTATCTACCAATTGAAGCATCGATGAGCGATTTGTATTGTTACTGAATAAGCCAAATTTATTTATCTTTTGTTGTCGCCTTTTTAGAGGTATACACATGGTCTGCTCGAGCAATTGCTTCCTTGACTGCGCACTCACTTAAAGAAGACAGATTTGGGGTTGCTCAACTCTCCGGTAGCAATGCTGCTGTTATTTCAACGCTCATAGCTTCTTTGCTTGCGGTCGAAATGTTGATGGGGGAAAAATAAGCTTGCAACTTTCTCATAATTTGATGGGGGCATTTGGCACTAAATCAGCCACGTTCAGTGCCGGAATAAGAGATGTTAGAGCAGGAAAAAGTAGACACGACCCAGTATATGCAAAAGCATACGCCATGGCTGATGTTTTAAGAACTTCGATTTACTGCATCGTGTCTGCTTTCCACCATGAGATGCTGGCTAGTGCAAAAGCAGGCCTTCTCGAGAAGGATTGGATTGCTGGTGGCAAACCTCCGTTCGGAACTCGTGAGTTGCTGTTGCAGAAATTGCATCTTTACCTTGACTTCCAAGCAAGTTAAACTAATATGAAAGGAGAATGTGAGAAAAGAACAAGCAGAAAATGTTAGTTTCAAAGGACTGATTGCCGGCACTTCTCCGATTCCATCATCAACTTCCCGTTGCTTTCGTTCAAAGCAAATCTGCCTTGACACCTTGTCGAATTTAACAGAATTCGAGGACAATAGGTGTGTTATCCATTTCTATTTTCTCTGAAAGAAAGTTTTTCATCTTGCAACATTATGCTATGATCAAGTCATACATGATATGAATTAATTGCAAAGTTTTGGATTCAATCTTTGAGAATAGTTCGAGTTTAGATACGGTTGATTTACTGCTAATGGATATTATTATTGACTGTTCAAATTAGACGAGCATTCTTAACGAGGTATCATGATAGTATATTATTTTTTTGGTATTCTACGTATTTAGTCACTTAACTATTATTTTGATTTTGTTTTGATAATTTAATTATTACTTTTCAAAATCATATCTAGTGTTACGTTTTGGTTTCATTTTGATCACAAATTGTTAAAAATATTTCAATGATAATGTGATATTATTTATGGTGATACATCATTATCACTATTAATTTATCAAAGTAACAGTTGGGTGATTAAATACATAGTATACAATAGAATATTTTAAGGTAATTATAAGATAATATTTATTCAGAATCATTTTTAGTTATTGACAATATACATTCACCCCTATATACAATTGCTCAAACCCGAATCTCTATATAAAATAACACTTTATTTAATCACTGTTGACGAGAATGAAGCACAAATCCAAGAATACAAACAAAATCTAATCTTGTAGTAATCTGAATCCCACACGCTTCATCTTATTTTCAAAAAAAAAAAAAAAACCATAAACACAAAAACCCTACAAAGTGAAATCATTAGAATAATAATAAAAGTAACGATTAAGCTGCTCCACAATGACGTCATCGATTCAGAGAGTCCAATTCACGCTCACATGATTCATCCGGTTTAAGACCAGTAACCGTCATCGTCTTAAGCCAGGGACGTTTTCTCCGGACCAGAAACCGAAGCGTAGCGGGTCGAGAAAGCTCGAAACCCACCGTACTCTTTATCGACGTCTTCTAGATCACCAATCTGTCCCGGTCCTTGATCGAAATTCAAAGCGTAGCTCAAAGGATCGTATTGGAATTGGCCGTGCCTACCGCCGCTACCGCTTTTATTCCGGTTGAATCTCCTGATGAAGGTTTTCCACCGGGGACCGGCGACGATCTCCGACCATTCTCGAACCTTGTGGAGCACTCCGACGCTTCGGGTCCAAAAGCCGGAACGGGGCTGGACCTGGGACGACGTACTGGTTATCCTGTGCCAAAAGGCTATGCCGACGGAGGGCGTACGAGAGGAGCTGAAGCAAGGGAAACAGAAGCAGCAACGAGTGTTTCGTAGGAGGGAATTCGACGTCGTTTCTTCGGTTATTGCTGGGTCTACATCTATATGAGCCGCCGTCATCATGGAGATCCAAAAGCTGTTTCTCTGGCTCTCTCCTTAAACAGCAGGGGTGGATTCTAATAATGAGCTTTCCAACGAATTTCAGCCTTTATAAATATAATTTTTCATAAAAAAAGATAATATCATAGTTTCCATTTTGACGATGAACATTTAAAAATAAAATTAGATATATGTCAGAATTCGACTCTCTTAATATAATTTATTTTATTTACAATCGTCATAATTCGAACTACTGATTTTATCTTAAAAAATATATAATGCATGTAAATAGTTGAATAATTATTTATATGTAAATATTTTTTTAATTGTTTGGAGTGATTTTCTTTTTTGTAGATGTAGTTGTTCAAACTCAAATCTTTTAAAAAAATAACATTCTCTAGATTTACGAAGCAATATGATAGTTGTAGCTTAATACTCAATAAATCTTCCCTGGAGAGGCACACACTTTTCACTTGACAAAAGCTTAATACTCAATCATTTAACATTGAACGCTTACACAGTTAATCGATAGATTTTCATTTTTCTATTTTAAATGAGTTCTTCATAATAATCTCGGATCCAATAAACAAAATTGAGTCGCACAGCTTTAATATGCCCGAATAACATTGAACCGTATGCTTTCATTTTTCTTCTAAAAAAAGAGGAGTAACAATGCACTTTTCTCAAATAATTGTTAGAACATATGGTTAATCACCTTATTGAAGAGCTGAAATCATTATCTAATCACAAAGCAACTAACTGAAGCGATATTGTAAAGTGATGGAGGTTCTTAATTAGTGGATTAAGCACTTAAACTAATTGCTTAATTAAAACCCAAATCACAATCTTATGTAGAGTTGGAGGTTTGATTAGTTAACAGGGGAAAAGGGAAACGAGTTCAGTGGAGAATGGCAGTCAAGTATGTGTGGATGAGAGGGAGGTTCAATCATAAAGTTTGGTATAGATTCGTCACCTCTAAAATATTATAAATTTATCCATTTGATATAAAATTATATGTATGTTCGTAGATTAAGAAGTATATAAAATTCAATTTTCATCGACAAAAGAAGGTTCTTCTATTAAATAATAAGGATTAGATCTATTTGTATGAGACTTTGTAACCACAAATTCTTATAATTTAGATAATATAATGAATTTCTCTCATGTAATTCAGGTAATTTCAAAGCCATCTCATAAAAAGCATGAAACTATAGTCATATCATAGAAACAAACTATTGCCTAGACCAATGTTTAAAATATCAAACAAGGATGGACCGAAAGCGACGGTCGTCCCCTGAAAATTTTAAAATTTTATATATTTTAGATTTTTTATTAAAAATTTATTTTTATCTCCCTGAAATTTTATAAGTTTGTATCCTCTAATATAAAATCTTACGTCCATCCGTATTAGCAAATGTACTTATGCAACTTGTATACCACCATGTTTAGACCTTGAGAAGCTGAACTATAACTATGGGCAAATCATTAACATCAAGTGATCTATTAAGAAAAGCATTATTAACATCGAGTTGTAGGATATGTGAGTGAATCACTAATAGCAAAAGGGCATGTAAATGTTTGAAAGAACGTCATTTTTACAAACGGTAAGACAGTGCTAGTGTAGTCAATTCTCTCTACTTATGTAGAATCTTTAGCCACTAAACGAGCCTTATATCGATTAACAATATCATTATATTTATATTTGATGCAATAAACTCACTTACAATCTATTGCTTTCTTCCCCTCCAATAGAGAAACTAGAAACCATGTTTGAATAGATGAGAAATAGATTGTTTCAAGTGCAAGTATATCATGAAAAAGATGAAGAATTTGATTTATGGAAGTAATGGTATGAAAATGAAACATATCTTCCTGAATGACAACATCATGAGAAACCACAGTTGTGTGAGTCTATAAAATGTAAATCTTGTACCCTTTTATACTATGAGGATACCCAAGGAAAACAGCAGAAAACTTATCTCTATGAAGGTGAAGTTTATCCTTAATATTATGATTAATATAAAAATAAGTATTTAAATTATATTTTTTTTTCATTTAGGTGCATAATTTTTTTCGGTCAATCTATATGCTTAACGTTTTCAACGTTATACCTTTAGGTGTCTAGATTGTTACCGTTGTTAAATTACGCCATTAAATGACATGTGTCACCTATAAAATTTATTTTTTTAGGAAAGAGATCTAAAATTTTATATAACTATAAAAAAATCAAAAATCTTTTAATAAACCTAATTTCAATACATTTCCAAAACTGTCAATTGACCAAACACCTAACATGTGATTGACTAACCACTCAACGACCAAAACCCCTTACTTTCACAACCGATTAAACACCTAACGATCGTGTAAATGTAATATTTTGTGCTATCGTCAATTTTCGTTGCAATTAGAGGTTGAAGTAAGGGGTTTCGGTCATTGGGTGTTCAACCGATCATGCATCATTAGAATTTTAGCTGGTTGGTGGCGGTTGGCGATGAGAAAGGGATTGAAATTAAGGTTTTAAAAGATTTTGAATTTTTTTATAATTTCAGAAAACATAAGGGTTTTTTAAAAATAATATTTTTAATTGTTTTTGTTTTTTTTAAAAATAAAATTTTAAAATTTTATAAATGTGAGTGGAAAAAACGATTGTCTAAAAGTACAATGTTGAAAGGTTGACGCCATAATTGACAAGAAAAATAATTAGACAAATAAAAAAAACTGTATAATTTAAACCCTTATTTTAGGGTAAACTACACGGGATCATCAAACTATGGTCAAAAATCATTTTGACCACCAACATTTCAATTTTATCAATTAGATCATCCAACTATTTAAATGTTTCAATCAAACCACCTGCCGTTAATTTTCACCGGCCTTTATTATTCTTGGCACGTGATTACAAATTTTTTTATATCATGTTATTATTAATGAAAGAAAAATGAAGTTAAAATGAAAATAGAAGGTTTTGAACTTGAAACTTTACCACTAGTCCAAACATATACTAAAGAATAAATACAACATTGTTTTAAATATTATTAATTTTTTATTAGCGGTGTAATTTACTCTAATATTTAACATAAATTTTGCATTTATTTCTGTTATTGTATATATATATTGTTTATTCTTTTAAAATATGAAATAATTTTATACTGCTTTTAATAATTTGAATTAGATTACGATTTTTAAATTTTTTCAATAATAATTTTTTATTTAAAACAAAATTGTTGTAATCTAACTAGAAAATTTTAAAAAAATACATATTAACAAAACACATTCTTTTTGGTGTGATGTTTAAGATTATCATAAAAGTGTATATATATTTTAAAGATTATCATATTTTTTTTAAGAAACTTTTTTATTAAAAACAAAAATGTAATAATCTAACTATCATAAATAAAAAATTTAAAATAAATACAAAATTTATATTAAAAACATATTATTGAAAAGATTATCTAACTAAATCAATAACTAAAAGTTTTCTAACTAAAAATTAATCATATATAGAAAAATGTTGTAATTAAACTGCAAATGTATGATTAGTGCAGTGGTCAAGTTGCTTTCATCTTTGATTGAAGTTTATGGTTTGAAACCTTCTATTAGCATTTTAATCATTTGTTTCTTTCATTAACTGTAACGATATATCAAAAATATTATAACTTTATTGCAAGATTTGCAGGTGGCCAAGTGGTTTAAGTGTGTGTTAAGTCTCCTCTTGGCCTTGGATTGAAACCACTATGTAGCATCCTATTGGAAGATAAATAAATTAAAATTAAAAAATATTATCCAATCATTTAATGAAACATGACTTCATATTAGATGTTAAATTTATTGAATTAAATCAAAATGATGACTAAATTAATAGAATATATAAATATTGAGGACCAAATATATAATTATGCTAATTTTATTAACTGACACGTCACCACCTCCGTTAAAAATTAACGGCAGGTGGTTTGATTGAAATATTTACATAGTTGGGTGGTCTAATTGTTGAAATTGAAATGTTAGTGGTCCAAATGATTTTTTAGCATAGTTTGGTGGTTCATCGTGTAGTTTACTCTTATTTTATGTTAAGCCTTAAAATTATACTTCTTCCCGTGTTCCAGTTAGCTCTCACTTCTTTTCCCATTAATTGGGTGTTTTGCTCTTGCTTGAAAACTCGATCAACGATGCACTCGCATACGCTTAAAACATCAAGAAACTACATCTCTCGCTCTCCCTCTGCTTGGCACTCTCCGCCATTGCCTCAGCAAGACGATCCCATTCTCACCTCACTCTCTCATGCCATTACAAATTCTCAAATAAAACCTCTTCACGTAGCTCTCAACAAACTCCTTCCTTCCCTTACTCCCTCTCATGTCTCCAATCTCATCGCCTTCAACCCTCACTCGCTATCCCCATTCCCTCTTCTCCTTCTTTAACTTCCTTTCTTCCCAACCCACGTTTCGTCACACGCTTCACACCTATTCCACCATGGCTCATTTCCTTATCGCCCACAACATGCTTCCTCAAGCACGTTCTCTCCTCCGTTTTTTAGTCTCTCGCAAGGGAAAATGCTCGGCTTCTTCGGTTTTCGCTTCGTTTCTCGAAACCAAAGGTACCCGTGAGTGTGATTTTGCTTTTGATTCCTTGATAATTGCGTATACGGATTGGGTTTTATTTCTGATGCTATTCAGTGCTTTAGATTGGTAAGAAAGCATAAATTCAAAGTACCATTTCAGGGTTGTAAGTATTTGCTTGAAAGAATGATGAGGACGAGTTCTCCGATGGTGAGTTTGGGATTTTATATGGAGATTTTGGAGTATGGGTTTCCACCCAATGTGTTTAGTTTAATATTCTGATTAATAGACTGTGTAGAGAAGGTCAAATTAAAGATGCCCAAAAGGTGTTTGATGAAATTAGGAGGAGAGGTTTACGTGCTACGGTTGTCAGTTTCAATACTTTAATCAATGGGTATTGTAAATCAGGGAATTTAGAAGAAGGGTTTAGATTGAAAACTGTTATGGAGGATGCCGGGATTCGTCCCGATGTTTTACTTACAGTAGTTTGATTAATGGATTGTGTAAGGAGAGTAGGTTGGATGATGCAAATGAATTGTTTGATGAAATGTGTAGCAGAGGGTTGGTCCCGAATGGTTTTATTTTCACTAGCTTAATCGATGGAATGTGCAAAAAGGGAAGAACTGATTTAGCAATTCAAACTTATCAGCGGTTTCTGAAGAAAGGTTTCGAACCGGATTTAGTTATGTACAATTCACTTATAAATGGTGTATGCAAATCTGGGGATCTAAAACGAGCAAAGATGTTTATTGCTGAGATGAGCTTGAGAGGTTTAAAGCCTGACAAATTCACTTACACAATACTATTAGACGGGTTTTGTAAAGAGGGAGATATGGAGTCCGCATTGCTAATTAGAGAGAAAATGGTTACACAAGGGATTGAACTTGATGATGTTGCTTTCACAGCCCTTATTTCGGGGTTCTGTAAAGAGGGAAGACTCATCGATGCTGAACGAGCATTGAGGGAGATGTTAAATGCTGGTATGAAACCGGATGATGCTACGTATACTATGATCATGGATGGATTTTGTAAGCAAGGTGATGTAAGAATGGGTTTCAAGTTGCTCAAGCAGATGCAGAGCTATGGTCATGTGCCCGGTGTTGTAACCTATAACGTTCTTATGAATGGACTTTGCAAACAGGGGCAACTCAGAAATGCTAATACACTGTTAGATACGATGCTTAGTTCAGGGGTGGTTCCGGACAGCATTACGTACAACATTCTATTAGATGGTTTCTGCAAGAAGGCAAATCCAAAAGATGTCAGCAAACTAAGAAGTGAGATGGGGCTTGTTGCAGATTATGCCTCTTATAGCTCACTAATTAGCCAGGTTGGTGGAGCTTCAAAATCGCTCGAAGAGATAACACTTTCTGGAGCAGGTTCGCTTGGTGTATATCGTTAAGATGAACAAACAAACATGGACTTCGATGCAGTCAATTGCCTTTGATCTACTAGATGGTTCCATTCGGTTCATCGAAACCATCGTGACACGATTCGTTGGACATCGTTTCTCAAAATTCAGAAGATATTTAGAAGACTATATGGCTACCTAATGTCCAGCAACCTCCACATGGTTTTAGCCCAAGCTTGTAACAGAGTCATGCCTGAGCCTGAGAATTGTTGCAAGTCAATCAGATACTGAATCTTGGTGATAATCTAACTTGCATAGCAGTGCCCCAAAGTTTTAATCGTGATCCGGATGGATCAAATGCAAGGCATCCGATTGAATAAGCTCAGTGCGAAGATCGATTAGGGTCTCGCGGATTGTCTACGAGCAATGTTTTAATATACTGACAAGGCTGCAGAGAGAGAGAAGTGATAAAAATGGCCCTATGGCGAGTGATGATAAACTTGGTCTTTGGCTCTGGTTTTCATGAGTCGACTCAGAATTGTCTTCCCTCCAGAAGAAAGCAAGAAAATGTCTTCAAGCTTCATGTTCCTTCCTTTATGCCATTTAGAAACTAATCATGCTAATAGTTTTTATTAATAAATATTTGCATTAGTCTCAAAAACTAAATTATGTAATGTTTTCTAAACTTACCTAATTTAACATAAAATTGGGTTGACATGATAGCTCACACAATTACTATTTTTATCTGAATTAATTGATTAAAAAATCAAATGTCGATTATATTATTAAAAATGTATTTAATTCTCAAGAGCTTTAATTTTAGTTTTGTTTAATTGAGACAAAAACACTGATTGCATGTTCCTTTTATGGTGTGACTAAGCACATGTTAACATTTCAAGTATATAAAGTATATTATAAATCCCACTCTAGTATTCTTGTCATTCTTTATTACTATGTTCCTTTGCTCTACATAACATTATTAAAATGGCACAAAGGTGGTCCAATAGAGATCATGAGTACTTAGTTTATTATAAACTATATTATATGACCAAAGCCACTAATTAGCTCATAAGTGAGTAAGAGGATAAGCATAAAACAAAGGCACATTGTGATTTAACAATTATTATTGGTCCAACAATGACCAAAACTCCCTTTGATTTGCGTAACGGTGCATTAGATAACCCCAAGTTCCTCTGGGTTCTTCTACCTTTTGCAATTATGTATTCCATCCTAATTATGCTTTCTCTTATCTACAACTTAATCTAATGGTTTCTTTTATAAAGAAATAATTATTTAATTTCTCAAGGCTTAATGATTGCATTGATGCAATTTCAATCAACTTCAATTTTTTCTTAGTATCTTTCGTTTCTCCCATACTCAATACCATTGAGCAAATTAAAGCAACAAATAACATGACATAATATATGTCACTAGGGCTTGACTCATTGATTTGAGAAAGACCACTCGATTACCATAAGGTAGCAATTTTTTTGTCCATCCCTGAATTCGTTTGGGGATCTTATCTCATAAAAATTCAAATGTATCAATCTTATTTTGCCAACCAATAGAGGCATACCAAGATACATACCCGAGTTAGCTCTCCATGGAATCCCAAAATTGTAGAGTTTTTTACCCTTGAAATCAGCTGTATTGACACTAAAGTACACCATAGACTCTTGATATAACTTTATGCCCCGAAGTGGCTTCATAGACGTCCAACACCAGGGACCAATGTATATAGAGAGTGAGAAGGGCTTTTGCCCTTCCCAAAATTTTTGATCTAATAGCATTTTAGGTCTTATCAGTTTAAACTTAAGTAAAATTAGATTTTTGCCCCTTTAAAATTTTTAATAAATACGTAATAAGTCCCTATTATTTTGAACTTAATACCTTGCTCCCCTTAATATTTTATCATAGTTTCGTCCATGTCCAATACCACCCTAAAACGTTGAGCCTCCACAATCGAAATTTTAATGAAAAACTAAGTTATCATTAGCATAGAAGAGAGGACCATTTTGACTAGTTCTGATACCCCAAATGCAATTGGCACGTTATTCACTTAGAAGAAGAGTGGACATACCCTGTAAGCATAACAAGAACAAATAAGACTAGGGATCACTCTTGAGTCCCTTTTTTTCGTCCTGAAATCAATTGAGTTTATCATTAATTTATAAACAATAACAAATTGGCGTAATACACTGCATGATGATATTGATTTGAATTTCATCATTAACATTATAGCATTGAGGAAATGTCATTCAATACGATCATAAACTTTCTTATATGGAAATAATCGAATAAAATGATTATCATGTAATAAAATTTATAATATTTAATTTAAATTAATCGTTTAATAATTAAATATCAAACGACAAATTGTACGTTTTGTATTTGTTTTTATACGGTTGATTTCCAATAACGACGGTGAGTCCATTTTTACCCGAATCAATCATTTTTACCCTGAGATTTTGTTTTGAAAAGAAATGGGGGATGGTTCACTTAGTTTTGAAAGTGGGCGTGCGTGTTTGTTTCTCGAGAAATTTAGAAGAAAGCGAGAGGTTGCATTAGCCTTTCCACTTTGACAGCTGTGTGGCCTTCTTCTCACCTTCTTCACTGCTTCGCTGTCCCAAGGACCACCACCTTTTCCCTTAATCTAATTAACATCTATTTAATCTATATTTAATATTTTTAGGGTAAACAATTCTTATGATCATTTAATTATTATTCCTTTTATTTTGACAATCGACTTGAAATTTTTTCAATCAAACTAGTTAACTATTTAAATATTCTAAATAAATCACCAATTGTTAACATTTAACTGGGGATTGTTGTGATTGTTAAAAAAGAGTATAATTAAATATTTGATTCTTAATATTTACATTTTTTTATCAATTTAGTTCTAACTTTAATTCAATTAAATAAATTTAAGGGTAAACTACACGTTTAGAACCTAAACTATTACTTTTGTTCCCTTTTAGTACACAAATTGTATTTTTTTTAAAGAGAAAATAACCTCAGTGACCAAAAATCCCATATAATATACGATTTTAACCAACTTTTTCCGGATTTGCCAAAATGACCAACAAAATCGCAATGCGATCGCTAATTCGCAACGCGATCTCCATTATCGCAAATTCGCGTTGCATTTTCGCAATGCGATAGTTGAAAATCGCGTTGCGATGGTCTACAGTATCGTTGCGATTTTCCCAATTCGCAATGCGAATAAGTAAATCGCAACGCGAATCGCATTGCGAATTGGGAAAATCGCAATGCGAATAAGTAAATCGCAACGCGAATTGGGAAAATCGCAATGCGATACTTACTATCGCAATGCGATAATACAAAATCGCAACGAGATACTTACTTTCGCAACGCGATACTGACTTTCGCAACGCGATTTACATAGCGCCATTCGTATTAACGCGTATTTTTTTTTTCAAATTCCAAACACGTATTTTTTCTTAATAAATCGGAAAATGAACCGTCCACAGTAATCGCAACTCATAACCTCAAACCCAAAAACACAACACTCAGTCCCATCTCCATCTCTCACTCTCTACGGCGAAATCCGTACCCATCTCCGAAGATTTCCGTTCCCATCGCCGGCGAAATCCCTCACAACCATTCACAGTCAAAAATCCCTCACAATCATTCAGAAATGGAAAATCAACCTCCGAGGGTTAGTTTTTTTTATTTTTATTTTGAAATTTTTTGCATTATTTTAGGTTTTTCATATTGAGATTGATGATAAGTTTATTGGTAATTTCAATAATAGATTAACCATTTCACTTAGATTTCTTATTAAATTCATTCGATTGCTGCCAATACTGCTAAACTGTTTAGCCTGTGAAGTTAGTATTTGTCTTTGCTTTGTCTTTTGGTTGAAGTAATGCAGAAGAAGAATAGTTTCGAGAATGAAAATCGCAACGCGGAAATAACTATCGCAACGAGATAATCGCAACGCGAAATAAAAATCGCAACGCGAAACCAAAATCGCATTGCGATTTTCATTTCGCGTTGCGATTTTCATTTCGAGTTGCGATTTTTATTTCGCGGTTGCGATTTTCATTTCGCATTGCGATTGTCTGGTCGCGATAGTCATTTCGCGTTGCGATAGTCATTTCCGCGTTGCGATTCTCATTATCTCGTTGCGATTTTCATTTCAACCAAAAGACAAAAACAGTGTTGCAAATTTTAGTTTCAAGAATAAACTACTATTTATGTTTATTGTTTTGTTTTTGGTATATCTTGACAGTGTAATTTTTGGTATATCTAACTTGGTATGTTTATTGTTTTTTTTAGAAATTTTTTTCGGCTTCATTGACATTAAGGAATAAAGTTAGCCTAGCCACTACAATTGCTTCGAAGCTTTCACCTGCACAAAGAAAATTGTTTGAAGAAACCTGCTTCGGGCCATGGCTGAGAGTACAGCATCCGGGAGATGCTAGTTTGACCCATTTGTGGCTTCAGACCATGACTAGCGATCTACCCGACAGTATACAATGGTGAGGAAGAGATATGGTTTCATTTTCCACCGGCGTATACTTGTTTTGGGCGGAAGGAGTTCTGCTTAATCACTGGTCTACGATTCGGACACGATGATGTAGGCCGGTACACTCGTCATATCACCCGCCCATCATGGTTATCCAGGGTTTTTCCTGATGAGTCAATAGAGAAGCCGAACTTACACGTCGACGACATGAAGAAATTGTTTAGTAAGAAAGATGGTTTTACTCGGATGAATGACGTCGATGTTGTCCGAGTAGCCTTCTACTACTTTTGTATGCCGGCTTCTAGGCAGAGAGGCCAGACAACCTATCCTCAGGAGCTAATATTATTGGTAGAGGACCTAAATGCATGGAATCTGTTTCCGTGGGGTTCGTATATATGGAAAGCTACCTGGACTAAGTTGTCGTCTGCCTTTGATGACCGCAAAAGTTTGCGGGGCGATGGGTCGAAATACACTTTGTCAGGCTTTGTTTGGGCCTTTAAGGTAAGAATTTCTATATAATGTTTTCAAAATTATAATTAATTATTTAACAATTACTAATGTTTGTTATTATATTGTTTGTAGATTTGGATATTCGAGGCTTTCCCCAGCATGCGGACATATGCATTAAAATCCTCAGATGATATTCCTAGGGCTATTTCCTGGAAGAGGAAACGTATGTTGGATTGGGAAGACTTAATACCATATGCGACAATAAATAATGTAAGTTAACACAAATACTATCATATATAACAAGTTATTAATAGTAGACGTTTAACTTTGTTTAGTTTTTATATTTTTAGGAGGCCAACACTCCATTAATGAGACTGACACCCACGGAGGCTGAGCTTGCCACTGATTGGTGGCAAGCTAGTCAGCGTTTTTTTGATGGCACGAATGATGAGCAGCCTCCACTTCCTCCACTTCGAGAGCCATCACCTCACCCAGAGCCATCACCTGATCGACCCGACTATACACCT